ATACTTAATCATTCCTTAACAAGTTTTGATCATTTGTTGGCATGAACAGGTTAACCATTTTACCTCCTAAGAGTGATTAACATCCAATTTCACCATAAAAGATCATCCTTGAATCACCCATTTAACTTATGAGAATAAAGGAATTGATCATGTGCACCATGCAACTAAAGGAGCTTCAATTGTTAGACAAATTCTCCTTGTCTGTTGTAAATGAGTAATGCACAGTATGGAGACTATACATACTGATGTTAGGGACTAAAAGGTAAACGCAGAAATATTTCAAGTCTTGAGACACCCTTAATTTTAGCATATCACTGTGTACCTGACTAACTCAAAAGCAATGAAGGGGGTAAGTTTTCTGAAAAAATCATGGTGCTGTGTTGGTGGGAGAATATAATGGAGCAATTTAGTATTATCAACTGAGTTGATAAAGTAAATTGGCCTCTATGAAGAGTTTCAAAGCTGACATTTCAAGTGTTAGCCCTTCTTCAGGGTGAATAGCGCAAAAGTAAGTTTGATGATCCATCTATTCTATTATCAATTTGCAGTTAGCATGTTAAGATCACATACAGTAATTATTATTAGCAACAGAAAGTTTGCATGGAAAGTAGAATATCTGTACCTTCAGTAATGATATGAAATTGATTCTTCATTTCAATTTGTTATGTTATGTATATGTTATAGGATTGAAGACAAAATTCACCAATTCTGGAAAGAAAGTGATTTTGGTTTTGTGAAATCTGTTCAGGACAGTCTACAATTGGTTTGTAAACCAAAGGAAATCCAGGTTAGAATCTGAAATTTTTCTTAAGGAGTTTTAGGGTGAGAGAGGGTATGCATGGAAAATGAGAACAGTGAAGTGTTGTATGATCAAGTAACATTTAGACATAATTTTGGCTAAATTGGTTAAGTCATCTGCAAACAGTGCCCATGGCAAAGTTTTGGCTGAGGCTTATAACTATAAAGCATCATCTGACTTTCTGGGTTCTCTTTGTGATATCAAGCTCAGGATAATGATAACATTAATCCAACTCCAACCATCAGATAGACAGTATAACAAGCAGGTGATCAAATTCAAAAGATACCACCAATATTTGAGTTACAAAC